CCTCGTGGTGCTCGTCAGTCGCCGGCCCGTCTCGTGCCGCCGCTCGACCCGGCTGAGCCGGGCGCTGCGAGTGGGAGCGGACCGGACGCCGAGTCCGCCACCCTGGATCCGGACTCCAGCGCTCGTCAGTCGTCACTCCGTCTTCCGGCGCCGTCAGGTTCTGCGACCGTGAGACGGGGCCCGTTGGCTCCCGCGAGTGCACCTGTAGTGACTGGATCCGGACCAGCGGCGCCGCCTACACCGGACAGACGGACGGCGGATCCGCTGAGGCGTTCCTGTAGGGTCAGGAAACCACCGGACTTCTTCCAAGCTGGTGTCTGATGTGTTAACCGAGGTGTTTGTTGTAAGGTGTTGTCCTTCTAAGAAAGGAAGGAGTGTAGCGTTCTGTTATTGTCGGGTTATGTCGGTTAGTGTTCCGTTATTGGTGCCTGTCGGCCCAGTGTGGCCTGACCGTGCCCGGGGGCGAAATGAGCGCGATCCCACTGACCCGGTCTGAGGGAATAAACCAGTTGGGCCTGAGCCGAGCCAGCGTGTGGAGTGCGAGCGGGAGCGAAGCGGGACATCACATTTCAAAATTTCAAACATCCGAGATAGCAGTTTTGTAGCCCTCCTAATTCTACACCTCTTATGTCTGAAACATTTTTCTGTATCTCTAAAGCTGTAGGCCTGACAGCTCTTCCCGCGAAACCTTTTTTGGGTCGAAAATGGCAAAAATGACGTCACTCTGACGTCATTAGCGGCCAACCTATCATAGCCTTTGGAAAAATTTTGGTCACAATGTGCAATAGCTATTCACGGGAGGGTACTGAAAGTTTGATGACGATCGGCACAGCGGTTCTCGAGATATATCGAAAAAACTAAAGGGGAGGCAAAAAATGCCCCCCCCCCCCACCGCCTGGAAGGTTAATGATGTCACATGACCTTACAGTTGCCCAAGAGCAAAAACAGGTCTCTCTGAAGGTAGGCAAAGTTGATCCTATATGAAGTCACTCATGGTATATTAGGCGATTCCGACGTGTTTTAGTTTAAAAGTAAGCGAGCCGATTTTTCCCCAATTGACTTTTAATGGGATGGTCAAGAAATTGACCTGACCTTAGATCATCGATATTAAAATTCAAAGTGAACTGGCGCTAGGCCAAAGCAAACACAATGGTGCCTGTTCCACGTCTCTTTCTTTATTAGATCAAAAGGTACATCCAAAACTATTTTGACTTCCTTTTTACCCCTGTGACGTCATCTTTGACTTGACCTGAAAATGACCTCAGTAAAAATTGTAGACCTTATCCGTGTGAATTCTGTACCGTTTACCGCTTGTCGCTATCTTGCTTTATTCTCGAGATCTCGCTGTCGCTCCCGCTCGTAATAATGGACAGGTCATAAAAATGACCTGAGGTCAACGCAGGGCGATAGCCACTTTTTATTATTGCATATGAATGACAATTGATAAGGCTTTAACCCTCACCCCGTTGGGGTGGCCATTTTGCCCCCCCCCCCTGTGGTTTTTCCTGAATAGCAAAAAACGGCGGCGCCAAATTTTCAGTACCTTCCCGGGCATCAATTTGACACCTTCACATCGAATTTCAAGTCTTAGGTCACCTTAGGTCAGGAGTTATTGTGGTCAAACTGAGGTCATGTTTTAGCAAAAATGAGCAAAAAACATGCAATCTTGAAACGCTCACCAAATTTACAGTTACCAAGCAATTTCAAAGTTCTTTGCATGGTCTAGTAGACAAAAAGTGGCGCTACAAAACAACTGCTATCTCGGATTTTCAAAATTTTGGGTTTTTTACCCCTAAAAATTAAAAAATTGATTTTTTTAAGAAAAACTAAAAAATATCCAACAATTTTCCGAATTTCGAAAAAACCGGAATATATGTGCTAGTCCCTGCGCTCCTCTATATACATAACAAATTTCAGATCGATATCTCGTTTGTTGGCCAAGTTATAGCGAAAAAACTGTTCGAAAATGATGACGTCAAATTTTTAACTCAATTTTTAGCGATTCAAGACCACGTAGGGCAAAACAAAGACCACCATTGAACTCCCCGTGACGAGCTGCATCGAATCAATACCCATTTTATGCAAAAATATCAACTTTGAAATTTGACCTAATTTGACCCGACCTTGACCAAAACGTGACCTAAGCTGGCCCAAAAGTCTGCCTGGCCCACATAATCGCATTTGTTATGTAAAATGGACCATAAAAAATGTATCACACGACACTTTCATATTGTGACCCCCCCCCCCCCCCAGTGACCTGACCTCTGTGACGTGACCTGGTATCAGTGACCTCAAATAGCAACATATTTGTTTGAAGAACATTTCCCCATTGATGATTTCCAATGAAATGCATTTTACTCGATTTTACAACGCATTTCTTGAAATGCCTGTAAACGGTGAAAATTCGACCTTTGAACTGACCTGTGACGTCATCGGTTTGACCTAGGTCAATAAAATTGGGTCACAAGGTAGTTCCCTGATAGGGCTATCCAACACCGTTTGCCGCTTGTCGCTAGGTTGCGTGGTTCTCGAGATCTTAGGGGGGCCAAATTGCCCGGGGCGCGGGTTAATCGTCATCAGACAAAATGGCAACTTTCAGTGGGGAGAATATCAAGGTCACTCTTCGAAAAATAGGTCAAAAGGTCACGTGATCAAAATTTTCAAAAATTGAACATCCGAGGTAGCCAAAATGCTTGCTGGTTGATGGTGAGTTGAACCATATAAAGTTTTTATCGTAGAAAACCAATAGTTTCTGAGTTACAGACCGCCAAACATAGGGCTGCAGCGCGACCTCCAGGAACTGCCCGATGCTATATCTCGGAAACCGTTGTTCGAAGAAAAAAATCCTTGCCACAGCTGGCTTCCTCGCCCATCACAACCCATTAGATCAATTTTAAGCAAAAAATAAAATATGGGGGTGCAGGGCACTTGTCGATTTGTCGTGGAACGCCCCAGAGGTCAGGTCACTGGGGGGTCACCATATGAAAATGTCGTGTGATACATGTTTTATGGTCCATTTTACATGACACATACGATTATGTGGGTCAGGCAGCCTTTGGGGCCAGCTTAGGTCACGTTTTGGTCAAGGTCAGGTCAAGGTCACGTCAAATTATGTCAATTTTCAAAGTTGATATTTTTGCATAAAAATGGGTATTGATTCGATGCAGCTCGTCACGGGGAGTTCATTGGTGGTCTTTGTTTTTCCCTACGTGGTCTAGAATCGCTAAAAATTGAGTAAAAAATTTGACGTCATCATTTTTGAACAGTTTTTTCGCTATAACTTGGCCAAAAAAAAAACAAGATATCGATCTGAAATTTGGTATGTATATAGAAGAGCGCAGGGACTAGCACATATATTCCGGTTTTTCGAAATTCGGCCTTAGACTTGAAATTTGGTGTGAAGGTGTCAAATTGATGCCCGGGAAGGTACTAAAAATTTGGCTGCGCTGCGCGCCGCCGTTTTCTTGCTATTCAGGAAAAACCACAGGGGGGCCAAATTGCCCCCCCCCCAAACGGGGCGAGGGTTAACCCACGCCCGGCTGGGGGTCCTGGATTTCCACGCACTGCTGGGGGGTGGGGTGTTTGAACACCCCCCTTCTAACTCGGCTCCTGGGCCACGTAGCGATACGTGGAAGGCGGCGTTGGAAAGAGCGTCAAAAATAATGACGAAATCACTTCGGTCAATTTTTTGGTCAGGTCAAAGGTCAGGTCACCAGAGGTCATTGAAGGCAAAATTTCGCCGATTTCCAGGTCGAATGTCGACAATTTCCAAGAAGCAAACGCATAACTCGGGAACCAATAGAGCTACAGCGCCGCGAAAAAGCGCATTCGATAGCCCTATTAACGCCCTTTCTGAGTAATCCTCTTAGATTTGACCTAACGTCAACGGTTTTGCCTGCAGGGGGCAAAAACTGCAAAAATAGCCGATTTTTTCGAAAACAGTTTTTCTGCAATTACTTTTGACCCAAGCATTGTATGAGCTTACTTTTACCGGCATCGTGTTCCTCTCGTCAAGACGCATCGAATGAACTATAACTTGACCTTGAAAGGTCAACTTGAAAATTTGACCTCAGGTCAAGGTCATGACCTGACCGGAAAGGGTCATGTTGCATATCAGTCGATCCGTATCGTCGAGCTGAACACATCTAAGGCGTTTTCATCGCTCTAGCATGCCTCTATCAAAAGTTATTTGCGAAAAGCTGTTATATACCATTCGTGACCTAAGATGACGTCAGGGCATAAACAGGGGTCACGGACACCATTTTCATGTTCAGTGTGTCTAAACCACTTGTAATTCAGTGTTTGGGAGTGTTTATAATGTTTTCCGTCCAAAAGAGGCGCATTTCAATTTTCTCCCATTGACTTATAATGGGTCGGGTCGCATAAATAAGGTCCATTGACTTAAATAAGGGTCGCAAAATTGACCTGACCTTAGGTCATCGATATCAAAATTCTGAGATATACATTTTGTACATGCTATTGCTCTTAGCAATCGCTGAAAGTTTCAAAGCGATCGGTCACTCGGTGTAGCTATGACAGACATTGAAACCTTTTATGAGGTGAGGTCACTTCAAGTGACCTGGTGACCTGACCTTGAACGATCTTGGTCTGAAATTTTCACAACATGTGTAGAATTGATGTATGATAAGGTGTACCAAAAACGGCGGCGCTCCGCGCCACCGTTTTTGAGATATTCGCGAAAAAACACAAGGAGGGTGTTCAAACACCCCCCCCCCCCCCCCAGCAGGGCGCGGGTTAAGCCGATCAGCAGTGGCTGAGCTCTTATTTCACTGATCCTGATCAGTAGGTACCGACTTTGCCCATGGAAACGGCCCCAATCATCCGGATCAGTAGCGGCCCCACTGATCCGGATACAAATCCCTTTGCCCATGAAAACGTAGTCATATATCTCGAGCATTCAGCGTGATCACTAGCTTGTGTTCAAAGTTTCCGACTTATCCCTACTGAGCCACTATCACAGTTTTTGGCCCCGTCCGCAGCCTGTCTTCCCAGCACTGGTGTGGTGGGCCCGACGACGGTGGCGCCTCCGGTGGCGACCCGGCCAACTACTGCCGACGGCGAGCCGTTCCCGTGGGACAGCCTGCGTCTACCGCCAGCCGTCCTGCCCCGCCGCTACGAGCTCCTGCTGCAGCCCAACCTGACCACATTCGCAGTAGTGGGTGAGTAACCTGGACCGGGTCCGGCGGCGTATTCGCCAAGTGTATTAGACGAATCGGCCGACTAACTAGCGACATCTCTAGTGCGACGTCATAGCCATCCGACGCGACAATGCATGCTTTAAGGCTGGATTTGAGTTGAGAATGTGTGCAATCTTGTACAGAAACATTCAACGCGTCGTCGTAGCCGAGTGGTTAGAGGCGACCCCCACCGGACACGATTTGGTAGCCGAGGTCTGTGACATCAGCTGGGCGTGAAGTTTTCCCTTCACCATAGGCTTTGCACACAAACTGGCCAAAGTTCATGCCTGGATAGCCAAGCCTGAAGGGCAACAAATGATTACATTTTGCCCTTATTAGATTCAGCGCTTCATTTTATAACTGAAAACGTCCGTTATTAGGCCTCTATGGAGGTACAAAGTACTCGAAATCGAAGTTCAAGAAGATGCTGTCCGAGCACAATCTGGTAACATCACGTGACTTCTTTTCAACAGATTATATATAATTTAAGGATATATTTACACGATTTCTGCCTAAAACATCATAAATAGTACACTTTCCATATGAATGTGTAATGATTCGAGCGTTCTAAGGTCCATAGCTGTTGGCGCTCTTGCAAGTATTTGAAAATCCGAAATTGAAAAACGGGTGTCACACTGATCTGAATGATCTCTCACAGATGACTGGGGAGGAGATGTCAGCATCTTACCCGTTCTCTCAGAGATTCCTAAATGTTGGCTAACTCTGGTGTTAAGGCGTGCACTGGTAGAACCAATGTACGACCCCCCGCACGAGGGGCAACAGAAGTTGTATATCACGCCAGAGCAGCACATTTTTGGAACTCTATCTTTGTGTTTGAAAAAAGAGCCAATCGTAAGTTGGTTCCTCAGGACGATACGAAATTGGGCATAAGGGTAGAAAGTAGTCAGTATATCGGTAATAGCATGTTTTAAAGCTTGAGACTGTTCTCCAAGGTACGGGAAAGTCACGTATTTGCAGAGCTTGGGACCATCAAAAGATGCTGGTACCCGATCGTATTGTTTGTTGAGGAATTTCCTCACTTCGAAATTGATTAGAGGGAAGTGATTGATAGGAGGGAAGTGAGGAAATTCCTCAACAAACAATATGATCGGGTACCAGCATCTTTTGATGTGCCCAAGCTCTGCAAATACGTGACTTTCCCGTACCTTGGAGAACAGTCTCAAGCTTTAAAACATGCTATTACCGATATACTGACTACTTTCTACCCTTATGCCCAATTTCGTATCGTCCTGAGGAACCAACTTACGATTGGCTCTTTTTTCAAACACAAAGATAGAGTTCCAAAAATGTGCTGCTCTGGCGTGATATACAAATTCTGTTGCCCCTCGTGCGGGGGGTCGTACAATGTAACGGAAGTTGGCACAGATTCAGCACAGGTTCAGCACAGCACAGATTCGGTAGGGGGAAAAAAGGCCCCGGTAGAGGGAAACCTTTATGACCCGTTTTCCCCTAGAAATGACGTCACAAGGAGGTAAAAATGGGTATCAATCGAAAGCTCTCGTTTACCCAGACACAGTCCTGCAGGAAAATTTCACTTTTTCCCCATAGGAAAGTGTGTACGGGAAAATCAAAATTTTGGGTCAATGGGGGGTCCCCCCCGATTTCGTTCAAAATCGGCACACAGGTGCCCCACCACCAGCCGAGAAACTTTCCCCAAAACGGTCCCCGTTGCATTGACGTTTAAGGCCCGTAAAGCCCCCTAGACTCGTAAAATATCCGTAAAATCGCCTTTGTACGGACAAAAAAGTGGTGCTATGGTAAAAATGGGTATCAATCGAAAGCTCTCGTTTACCCAGACACAGTCCTGCAGGAAAATTCCACTTTTTCCCCATAGGAAAGTTTGTACGGGAAAATCAAAATTTTGGGTCAATGGGGGGTCCCCCCCGATTTCGTTCAAAATCGGCACACAGGTGCCCCACCACCAGCCGAGAAACTTTCCCCAAAACAGTCCCCGTTGCATTGACGTTTAAGGCCCGTAAAGCCCCCTAGACTCGTAAAATATCCGTAAAATCGCCTTTGTACGGACAAAAAAGTGGTGCTATGGTAAAAATGGGTATCAATCGAAAGCTCTCGTTTACCCAGACACAGTCCTGCAGGAAAATTCCACTTTTTCCCCATAGGAAAGTTTGTACGGAAAAATCAAAATTTTGGGTCAATGGGGGGTCCCCCCCGATTTCGTTCAAAATCGGCACACAGGTGCCCCACCACCAGCCGAGAAACTTTCCCCAAAACGGTCCCCGTTGCATTGACGTTTAAGGCCCGTAAAGCCCCCTAGACTCGTAAAATATCCGTAAAATCGCCTTGGTACGGACAAAAAAGTGGTGCTATGGTAAAAATGGGTATCAATCGAAAGCTCTCGTTTACCCAGACACAGTCCTGCAGGAAAATTCCACTTTTTCCCCATAGGAAAGTTTGTACGGGAAAATCAAAATTTTGGGTCAATGGGGGATCCCCCCCGATTTCGTTCAAAATCGGCACACAGGTGCCCCACCACCAGCCGAGAAACTTTCCCCAAAACGGTCCCCGTTGCATTGACGTTTAAGGCCCGTAAAGCCCCCTAGACTCGTAAAATATCCGTAAAATCGCCTTTGTACGGACAAAAAAGTGGTGCTATGGTAAAAATGGGTATCAATCGAAAGCTCTCGTTTACCCAGACACAGTCCTGCAGGAAAATTCCACTTTTTCCCCATAGGAAAGTTTGTACGGGAAAATCAAAATTTTGGGTCAATGGGGGGTCCCCCCGATTTCGTTCAAAATCGGCACACAGGTGCCCCACCACCAGCCGAGAAACTTTCCCCAAAACGGTCCCCGTTGCATTGACGTTTAAGGCCCGTAAAGCCCCCTAGACTCGTAAAATATCCGTAAAATCGCCTTTGTACGGACAAAAAAGTGGTGCTATGGTAAAAATGGGTATCAATCGAAAGCTCTCGTTTACCCAGACACAGTCCTGCAGGAAAATTTCACTTTTTCCCCATAGGAAAGTTTGTACGGGAAAATCAAAATTTTGGGTCAATGGGGGTTCCCCTACGATTTCGTTCAAAATCGGCACACAGGTGCCCCACCACCAGCCGAGAAACTTTCCCCAAAACGGTCCCCGTTGCATTGACGTTTAAGGCCCGTAAAGCCCCCTAGACTCGTAAAATATCCGTAAAATCGCCTTTGTACGGACAAAAAAGTGGTGCTATGGTAAAAATGGGTATCAATCGAAAGCTCTCGTTTACCCAGACACAGTCCTGCAGGAAAATTTCACTTTTTCCCCATAGGAAAGTGTGTACGGGAAAATCAAAATTTTGGGTCAATGGGGGGTCCCCCCCGATTTCGTTCAAAATCGGCACACAGGTGCCCCACCACCAGCCGAGAAACTTTCCCCAAAACGGTCCCCGTTGCATTGACGTTTAAGGCCCGTAAAGCCCCTAGACTCGTAAAATATCCGTAAAATCGCCTTTGTACGGACAAAAAAGTGGTGCTATGGTAAAAATGGGTATCAATCGAAAGCTCTCGTTTACCCAGACACAGTCCTGCAGGAAAATTTCACTTTTTCCCATAGGAAAGTTTGTACGGAAAAATCAAAATTTTGGGTCAATGGGGGGTCCCCCCCGATTTCGTTCAAAATCGGCACACAGGTGCCCCACCACCAGCCGAGAAACTTTCCCCAAAACGGTCCCCGTTGCATTGACGTTTAAGGCCCGTAAAGCCCCCTAGACTCGTAAAATATCCGTAAAATCGCCTTTGTACGGACAAAAAAGTGGTGCTATGGTAAAAATGGGTATCAATCGAAAGCTCTCGTTTACCCAGACACAGTCTTGCAGGAAAATTCCACTTTTTCCCCATAGGAAAGTTTGTACGGGAAAATCAAAATTTTGGGTCAATGGGGGGTCCCCCCCCCCGATTTCGTTCAAAATCGGCACACAGGTGCCCCACCACCAGCCGAGAAACTTTCCCCAAAACGGTCCCCGTTGCATTGACGTTTAAGGCCCGTAAAGCCCCCTAGACTCGTAAAATATCCGTAAAATCGCCTTTGTACGGACAAAAAAGTGGTGCTATGGTAAAAATGGGTATCAATCGAAAGCTCTCGTTTACCCAGACACAGTCCTGCAGGAAAATTTCACTTTTTCCCCATAGGAAAGTTTGTACGGGAAAATCAAAATTTTGGGTCAATGGGGGTCCCCCCCCCCCCCGATTTCGTTCAAAATCGGCACACAGGTGCCCCACCACTAGCCGAGAAACTTTCCCCAAAACGGTCCCCGTTGCATTGACGTTTAAGGCCCGTAAAGCCCCCTAGACTCGTAAAATATCCGTAAAATCGCCTTTGTACGGACAAAAAAGTGGTGCTATGGTAAAAATGGGTATCATTCGAAAGCTCTCGTTTACCCAGACACAGTCCTGCAGGAAAATTCCACTTTTTCCCCATAGGAAAGTTTGTACGGGAAAATCAAAATTTTGGGTCAATGAGGGGTCCCCCCCGATTTCGTTCAAAATCGTCACACAGGTGCCCCACCACCAGCCGAGAAACTTTCCCCAAAACGGTCCCCGTTGCATTGACGTTTAAGGCCCGTAAAGCCCCCTAGACTCGTAAAATATCCGTAAAATCGCCTTTGTACGGACAAAAAAGTGGTGCTATGGTAAAAATGGGTATCAATCGAAAGCTCTCGTTTACCCAGACACAGTCCTGCAGGAAAATTCCACTTTTTCCCCATAGGAAAGTTTGTACGGGAAAATCAAAATTTTGGGTCAATGGGGGGTCCCCCCCGATTTCGTTCAAAATCGGCACACAGGTGCCCCACCACCAGCCGAGAAACTTTCCCCAAAACGGTCCCCGTTGCATTGACGTTTAAGGCCCGTAAAGCCCCCTAGACTCGTAAAATATCCGTAAAATCGCCTTTGTACGGACAAAAAAGTGGTGCTATGGTAAAAATGGGTATCAATCGAAAGCTCTCGTTTACCCAGACACAGTCCTGCAG